TCATTATGTACTTGGCTTGGAGTCAACAGGCCTATTTATTTTGGGTTTTTTTTTTTCCTCCAATCAAATTAACTAAAGCAACCGAGCATTATTAGATTTTAGCCCGGAGAACTCTCCCAGAGCCACATCCAACAGGAAGGTTTTTAATGGCACTTGCCTTATAAGATTAGGAATGCAGGAGTGCTCACCACATGCAAGCCCCCCAGCAGGAACATCCGAGAAATATCCTGTTTCTGGAGAGAAATGGCAAAAGTGGCCAATGCCAAGACAGGCACCGCAGGCACCCGTGGCTACGACCGGCTTTGCAGAGCCCTGCGCTGCTCTTCCCGGGCGGCCACAGCCCCTGGGTGCACGAGAACTCCCGGCACCATCCCGCACCACTCTGCTAGTCCAGAGGGTCCAAGAGCAGCTCGGAGCAGACCTTGAGGCAGCCGCGGTGGCCAAGGGGTTCCCGACTCCCATTTCCTGGAATCTGGGGCTCCTGCGAGCGAGGAAGGGAGAGCCGGTGAACGCGGCAACGGGGTTTTGGGTTCTGCTCTTCCCAGAGCTTCTTTGCCACGTGGGTCATGTCCGGAGGAGCAGGAAGCCTCCACCCCTCGGCAGCAAAGCCACAGTCCCCGAGGACACAGCGGCACTGAGGGCTTTTCCAGGGAATCTGCAGCTTCCCGTACAGCAAGGAGCTCCTGCTGGCTCTTCACTTTGGGCTGAGGATGCTCTTCCCGAGAGGAAAACAGCAGGTGAACCCACATCCCATAGGAGCAGCCTAGCAGCAAGGGAGGAGGTGGTGTGAGAAGGACGGCAGCCATGTGTTTCCCTGCTCTCACTCCTCCCATTTTAGCTTAGACCTCCACACACCCAGTGTATATAGATAAGGAGCCTGGTGCCAGGCACTCCCAGAAGGTTCTTTTTCTGTCCTCCAGCTCTTAAGGCTTTAAACTTAGGTAGTTATTAGGAAAAGAAAGAGGAGAGACATCCCAATTGTGGGAGGGTGCACCTCCCTAAAACACGCATTACTGCTGCACTGTGACGGATTAGGAAAAAAATATACATATTTTCATACGTATTTTCATACTCGTGGCAATCAATCAGCTCCATTTTAGTGTGTCAGGTAGGTGGAATTTGGTGAGGAACCGGCAGTCAAACATCTCTGTATTTAACTGGGGTGAGAAGAAGGAAGAAAGGGGCCCATTTGTGCTGCTCTCCTCGCCGTTCACCAGCCTAGTTCAGCCTCGCCTTGCCCCACGGAGCCCCACGGAGCATCTCTGGCCTCAGGAACAAAGAAGGCCCTGGTGCTGCACAGGCAGGATCCAAGGGACATCTGTCTCCTTTGGCCTCCTACATTTTCCCACATCCCAAGGGGAATTTTACTTATTATCACAAGCGCACACGTGGCGCACTCTGCAAGGATACGCACAGGCAAATCTTACAGCATCGTCTCATGCTGTGTATACCTATGTCATCTTGCAGTTTCGGTGTGAAACGAGTCGTTTTGCAGAATGACTAATAGAAGACAAGGAAAAAAATTAAAGAAAATCAGCACGGGCTCACAGAATGACTGCTCCACTCAGGCATTTTGCAGAATGACATTAGAGCCACTTCATCAGATGACTGCCTAGCACAGGAATGGCACAAAATGTCAAAGTCCGGCTTGCCTGGGATCATTAACTTCAAGAGGACGAATAAAAAGATTATTCTCATGTCTTCGTTAGTGAAATATCAAGCAGAGATTATTTAAAATATTTACACGTAATCCCAAACTACCGTAATGAGAGGCACTGCTTGCAATGGAGCTCACTGGGGCTTTGCTTTGCGCTGCTCTAATGTTCCTACAAGCCAAATATCCATCAAGCTTGGAAGGACTACAGCCCCATTCCCACCTCAGGATCCAGACTTGCTGAAGGAACAAGCTCAACAGTCCTCCTGAATCCCAAGAGGAAAAACCACGTTGGGCATTGCCCCAGACATCTGGCGTCTAAACGAACGTACCAGCTATGCGGAGGCTCCTTCATCATTTCCTTAGAGCTCCTCACTGGGAAGAAGCCTTTTTATTTATCCCGGGAATCTTTTGGGAACTTCAGTGCCATGTACAGAAGGGCAAATGTAAAGAGCTTAAGGTTGCTAGAAAGGCAGAGGAAGAAAAAGCTAAAAAGAACCACTTCCATGGCCCTGAGCATCCCAAGGAGCAAGGAGAGCCACCCAGAACAAGTGAATTCCCCTTTTCCCAAAGGGTTTCTCGACTCCCAGAGCACAGTCGAGATGAAGGGCTCTACATCTAGTGCTCCTGCAACGAAGACATCGCCCTCCTCCCGAGAAGCATCCCAAGTTCTGCAGAACCACCTTTCTGTAATTTTTTTTAAAGCCTTTACAGCCCTTCTGCTTTTCCTCCCCAGCACATCCTTAGGCAGCTCCCAGGTTAATAAAGGCACAAACACACCTGAGAGCCTGTGGGGCTCGGGATCCACCAGGACCAAAGGCACTCACTGCTCTCTGCTGCGGGGTCTACGCTACACTCCAAGGCTACATTTAGGAACAGTGAATTTCTTCAAGAAAAGCCATCACACAAACATCCATACAACGCCAGGAAATACGATAGCAACGGCAGCCCCACTGCCCTCCCTATTGCTGCGAGCACAGGTGCTTTTTCTGCCACTCTGAGCCCCAAAGCGGCGCTGTGTGTGACACACGTGCAGAGGGTTGAGGAAAGGATCCTGCAGTCTCCTGCGCAACTCCAAGAGCTCCAACTCCACCCAACACAGCGGTGCTGATGCTAAAGGTTTGCACATTCCCCAGGAAAAAGCCTTCCTGGCAGAGCGCACATCCAACGCCAGGAGCAGAACCAAAACCAGGATCTCCTTTCCCTCCGCAACACGGGAGGATGCTCCGAGCAGTCGCGCTTGCCGAGCGCCGCAGGGAAACTGCTGGAAAACCTTATCAGAAAATCCTCTTCGCATCTCCCTCCTGATGTAGTGTGGAATTCAGGAAGGAGCAAAGGGGGCCTCTGCGCCGCTCCGTGGCTCAAGGACCAACTAAGTGCTGGGCAGGGACTCTGCGAGGTTGAATTTCACCAGCTTACAGGTCGGACAGGCATCACAGGAGGAACTTAACACCCCTCTTTTTAGGACGTGGCTACTCATGAAAGCACTGCAGTATTTATACACCCAAGGAGAGGCCTCCCCCTCCATCAGGAAAACCTGCCTTGATCCTATCTGCCCCTGCAGAAAAGGTGCCACCGCCACAGGCAGCACAAGATGCCAGGACCAGCAAATATTATGAATATTAAAGACGACTAATCTTTTGAAATGACGAAGTCAGGCTGAAGGCTGCAAGTCAGGCCGGCTCTTTCACGACTAATAAAACACTGTATTTCACTTTGACTACGCCACGAGTTTTGCAGTAAAACGGCAGGTTCTCTGTTCTCTGCGCCACGGAAGTCACGGCAACAACCATTAACCAGCCCTGGGGGGCAGGAGGGGAGCAAAGCCGCAAGGCTTTAACTAACTCAGAGTTAAAAGAACATAAAAGCAGCCCTGGTTTACCCCAGGCAATGCTTCACTGCTCGGCCCGGGCGCAGAGCCACCCCAGGGGGATTGTGTTTACTGGTAACAAAACACCCAGCAGAAAAGGGGTCTCCCCAAGGCGCAGGGGAAGGGGCAGAACACACAGCAGCCCCGCTGGGCTCGAGGGTTAACGCAGCAACGGAGCCCGAGACGTCTCTGCCTCACGGGTGTTTGGAGGGTTTCTTGTTTCTTTTGGGGTTTTCTTTCCCCAGGGTCGTTGTTTCCTCTCTTGGCCACTTCTACGCGTTTGGGTAGCGGGTTTAGTTCTTCCCAACTGATGGGTTTTCAGGCTTTGCTGGAGCTAAGGGAGGGGGGAGCTTGCTGGGGGCTGCTCGTGGTGGCAGCTTTGCAGTGCACACACGCTGTATGGTGTTTCTGAAGGTGTTTGGTGAGGACAAAACCCAGAAAGCAGACGCTGTGCAGTCAGCACCCATCAGAATAACATCCTCCCTGAGAAGCTTGCAAGGATCCGTGATTTCCCGCTGCTTCCATTTACCCGGAGCACCAACAAGGAGGGGTCCCACCCGCATCCCATCATGTAGATGTGAGAGCTCCCACCCTCTCCAACACACTCAGCCTGAGGAGGGATCTCCTGGCACGCAGGGCATTCCTCACCCCTGGGAGCAGGAACACGCTCCTTCCTTCACCTTCACGCGTCGGGAACAGGGACAAGCCTGGAGACAGTGCCAGCGCTTGGGAACAAAACAGGGAAAGCCAAACACATGTCCCCAGTGCCACGAATCCAACGCAGAGGCGCCCGGGGCCGCCGGAGCTGCCGACTGCTCTGCCCGTTGACGTGCTGCTTCACCAGGAACGTGCAGGAAACATCCACCGCCCGGCTCTCCCCAACAAGGGGCGAGAGCAGCTTCCTTGAAAGCCCCTTTCTTTCCATCCCAACTGGGAGCCCTGGTTTAATTATTCATTTTAATTTCAAAGCCAGGAGTTAATTTCCAGCAAGGAGTTTTGCTTGAAGGACGAGCACACGACTAACCTTTGTACCCAAAGGTGTAAGGATACAAGCAGACAGCCTGGGCTCTACGAACAGAGAGGCTCTCTCAGTTACACGTATTCCCTTTTTTAAACTTTCTTTTGCAGCATGTTTTGCTTTAGGGGTTTGCCACATTCACAGTGGATTATGGGCAGGACTCATCTGGCCAGTGTGTTAAGAACACGGCCCCACACACAGGCAACCATCCTATTTGTAAACATGTTTTCACCAACCTGTAGCTAACACCAGGTGCCCCGTGAGGCTCTTCTTCCAATTAGCTCCCAGCACGGGGCCAGGTTTTGCAAAGCTCTGCTCTGAGCGTTCAGAAACCAGCCCAGAGGAGCCCCTGACGCCTCCATCACCTCAGAAACCCAGTAACCGACTTCCTCGGCCTGCACTTGTGAGGGAAAACAGAGCGGGCAAAACCCCCGCCGCGTCGCCCGCCTCTCACTCACCACGGGCGAGCGGTGTGAAGAGCATGGTGAGGAAGAGCAGCTGTGATGACCACATGACTGTGGAGGCGGCCTCGGAGGGTCCCAGCGAAGACGGGCTCGGCCGCAGCGGCGCCTGCCCTCGCTCGCAGCGCCGCGACTGCCGCGCTGCGGCTCACATCCGGCAGCAGCGGGGGGAAAAGCCAACCGAAGAACAAAAATATAATAACAAGAAGAATAAAAAAATCCCACAGCCAGTATCCAGAACGAGACCTGCAAGAGAGAAGAAAAAATAGCAGTCAGTAACGTGGTGAGGCAGGAGGTACTGGGGAGTTTTTGCTCTCCATCCCCTTCTTGTCCACTCTTGTTCACTACGTACAAGAGGAATTACAACTTCCCCCTGTGCATAGAGCCACTGTGTGTCCCTAATACTCCACTTCCCTCTCCTAAACTTGGGCTGCAATCAGCCGTTTGGAACCCTTTTTGGCCTAGGGAGTCTGCAAGGGCGGCCAGAAGCAACAAGTCCAACGAGTCTAATGCCTGCGTGGGCACTAACGCCACGTTCAGTAGGTGACTGATTCCCTTCACCGGGTCTGGACTCGGCTTTGGCACCCCAAGAAGAGCCTGGAAGTCCCTTCGCTCCTGAGCTACCTATGATAGCAACTGGCAGCGACTCAGCAGCAGCTTCCAGCTCGTGGGGGATCCGAAACACCGGCCCCGTCCATCCCACACACTTACTGGAAAGCAGAGGGAAAGCGGCACCTCAGCTGGGAGAGAAACACTCACTCATTTCCCTGAAAAACAGAGCGCGGCTTCCCGTCATTCCCGTCATGGCTCAATGGCCACGGTGACTCAAACTTGGCAGGAGGAGGGGGGGAAACAAAGGCCGGGCAAGTCCGGAGCTGATGCAGGGCATCAGCCCCAGACCTTGCTCCGTGCTGCCTTCCAAACCATGACAGAGCTCGAGGGGTCTGTTTGGAGCTCCCTGCTCCCTGCAGAAACAGGACAACTCCCCACGCATCCCCGGCCAACAGGAGCTTCTCTCTCCGAGCGCAGCCGTTGCTTTTGCTGTCCCTCGTCCTCGCTGCACGCGCGGCACAAACCAACAGGGCCCGTGGAAAGCACCGCTTAAAATAACAATAGTAAATAATAAAACTTTACTTCTTTTACATAAAAAAGTAAATAATAAGCAACTTTGCCACAGAATCTTGTGAAATCATCGCCCGTATCAGTAAACCTTATTGTTATTTCTTCCATACGAGTGAAGAGCATTTTGTCACTCCCCCCCCGCCACCACTCCTTCAGTGACAGAGGTCGAGAACATCAACAGCGGGTACTGATGCCAAGAACAGCCAGTTCTCCATGGCAGCTCAATGCTAGTCTACAGGGCGGGTGAGAAAGAGAAGGAAACTCGGGAATCTAGCAGGTGGAAAGATCTCAGAAGTGGGATTTAGAGCAGCGCTTCTCAAGGCAGCAGCCCTCTGCAGAGAGGGCTCCTAGATGGCACGGGAGGTGCTGGGGCACCCGCTGCCCGGCCGGAGCAAGGGCAGGGGATCCAATGGCCGCTCTCCAAGTGACATTAACGCTGATGAATATCATTTGATAGGTATTCACTCCTCGAAGCAACTTGGGAAGAACGGGACGACCACAGTAAAAGCCATGCCAGTCCCACGTCTTGGACTTGACACTGCAGCATGGGGCAGGTGGGAAGAGATGGAGAGCCTTGGAAACACTCAGGAATGTACAGGAATTACACAGGGATCGTAGGCACAGATACCTCAAGCACCAAATGCTGCAGCCTTTTGTGCAGCACCCGCTGGTGGCCTCCTGCCACGTACCTCATCAGGGATCCAAAGCAGGAAGGAGCATCCTTCCCACGGTGCCCCAAGGCATGCAAATAGAGGGGAACACCTGCAAAGCCTTCCGAGGTGCAGGGCATCACCCGAGGCTGCTGCAGAACAGGCAAGGAGCTGCGTGGGCAGCCCAAAGCCCGACCCCCAGCACGGCTGCTGCTTCTCGAGCTCTGCTAAACCAGGGCGCCCAGGGACAACGGGGTGGCCTTCACCCTGCGCCACCCAGACGCTCGTCGAGGGCCATGCACCAGGCTCAAACGCACCCGTCGGCAGAAACTCCTCCTATAAGATGGAAACAGCACCCAGGCAGGCGCCCGAGCGAGGCTCCAGCAGGAATGACGTCCCCGCGGGCCGCGGCACCGCGTGGCAGTTCCTCAGGAGAAGGAAAATCTCCACGCTTTTCTTAGATTTCTCCTCACCGAGGAGAAGAATAAAGAGGAAGCAAAAAAACAGGGCTCAAGTGCCGCTTGGAGGCTCACTAAACAGGGGATAAATCAACATAACTCAGCATATTTGTTTGATTTAAAATTGCTGTGACTTTTAATCAAATCTCCTGCTTTTTTCTTCTCCTTCAGGAATGATTCACGGTGCTGAACTCCAGGGTTTGACTCTCAAAACACTTATTTGTGCCTCACGATAGACAACGCGGTGGGCAGCAAGGGAAGCGGATACCTACTATAATTATCCATTGTAATCCATTACATTTATGGCTAACATTCCATATGTACAGATCCAGGGTCCAAACCTACAGGTCTAGGCTTTGCATGGCGAAAGAGGCAGCTCCGAGGAGGAAATCAGCTGAAAATTTTCCTCAAAAAATAAATCCCTAGGAGATTTAACAGTACATCTTCATGCAAAGTCTGATCTTAAGGGCAGAGTTTTGCAGCTGTGAGATCACAGCAGAAAAATAAAAATCCATTTTGGGAAGAACTTCTTGTATCACTGCATTTCCTCACCCTGGAGCTCCTCTCCCTATGCACATGCAACACAAGCAGCAATAATAAAGGGAAAGGGCAGCACCTGACTGAGCAGTTGCAGTGAACACGGCTTTTCTGTATATGTAAAAATGAGTCTCCGATGGCTTTTTTATTCCATTATTCCATTACTTTTTTCCCAGATGGCTGGGATGAGGTACTATTTGTTTTGCGCTACAAAGATGTAATTTCCTTCACTTTTTTGGGACAATTAGGAAATTAGCAAGCGATATAACCAAGGTTAATTGTTTTTCTCATTCAAAACAGCAGCGCTGGTAAGAAAGGAGTGAGAAAGAGACCATTCACGGGCGCGCCACAGTGTGCCCACATAGGCACGCTATCAAATCCAATTAAAACAAAAAAAAACCCACACTGGCAAATGAGATTAATGGCAAAAGGCAGGTGAATAACACATTTTAGAAGAAAGTTATCAAGGAAAAAAAAAAAGTTAAATTTAATTGTCTTCCAGATCTGTTATGATGTAATAAATGGCTATTAATGTTTAGCAGCAAATTGGGTTTTAATGATCGCTGCTATTTTGGGCGGGTGGGTGACACGCAGTTTAAGCCTCGAGCAGATTGATGTCTCGCACCAGGGCGATTCTCGCGGGCAACTCTCCTTGACTTAACCTCTTCACACCCCACGAGACATTTAATATAATTTCATTTCTAATAGACTGTAAGCCAATGGGATCGTATTTGCTCCTAGTGATGTTTCCAATGAGAAATAAAATCAATGAGGTTTACGCTGCAGATAAGTGCAAGTGATTGCTTAAGTGCAAGTGGCTCGGAAAATAGGAGGAGGGCTGTATTATTGGAGCAAATGATGCCAATTAAGCAACGGCCTTGAGGGGTGCCAAGGCCTTTGGACGATTCCCAACCTTGCCGGGTTGAGGAAATCTTATCTACGACTTGCTCCTTCGTGGGCAGTCTCGAACAAACAAAAAAAAAGGTCATGAATAGGGAGAATTTTACCTCCATTTCCAGTCCAAGAGAGGAGCCTTAAACATCATATGCACAGTGCAAAAAGTCACTCTCCTTAATCCTTCATTTTTTGGAGGAAAAAGTATTTTTACTGCACCCCTTTGATGCGCAGATGCATTTGCTATTTGTAGTCCTGTAGTAATTGACACCGCCTAACCCAAGGTCAGGTTAACAGAGGGGCCTCCTTCCCCTCGCCCATTTCTTCACAGAAGGATGGAAGCTGAAGGACAAGACCTTGGCCACCCCTGCTTGAACCCCCTTGCCCAGCTCTGCTCGGAGATGCAGCAGGACCAGCCCAAGGCACGTGCCTCCATGTCCAAGGAGAACACATGGACTACACCCTTCCCAGCCCCTCAAGGAGTCACCGACGACTGTGACTTACAGTCGGAGGCAGCTACAGCTCTGCGCGCTACAGCTCTTCTCTTGGCACTACAAAAGGAGGAGCTTTACGCCAGCAGCTCTCGGAGGATAAAATATTTATATAATATGGATCGCACACACTTCTCTTTCCCTTTTGAAGTGAGGCAAAAGACAGACATTTCCAGCTGAAATTACATGAGGGATCTTAAGCAAACACACGTTTCCAGCCCCGCTGGAACTGCACCAATAACTCCACGCTGAAGCCCCGGCTCTTGCGTCACACCCGGAGACATTAACCCCATGTGGCAGCCAGGTCATCTCCTCAAACAACGACCCCCTGTTTTTCCTTTTTTTTTTTGCAAAACAGAGTCTTTAGAGGCCCCACACTCTCTTCCTGCAGAAGACGAGTGACCAACTCCATCAAGCAGGTGCCCTTCTTTAAAGGGTGCCATAAAACTTGCAAACAATAAAACGTTAGGGTGGGTGAGAGGCTAAGATTGATTAATTTCTGGAGTGCTTTCTTGCAGGAATTAATTGCGAGGGCAATGAGGACACCCGTGCTCCCCGAGCAGCGTGGCCTGCGGGATGGGGCGCAAGATCCTCGCCCTGCTTTCCCTCCTGGGTCGCCTGCAGCCCCAGGGGAAGATGCACCCGCTTTGAGCTGCCCCATCTAACACCTCAAAATGCCTCAAATTCAACACACTTCTTAATGGCCTCGCCATAGAGAATCGGTCACTAAGAGATTCCAGGGGAAGCTGAAGGCTGTTCTTGACGCTGAAGGTTACTTCAAGTCTCTGCCTATGGTGCTTTCCCATATGGGAAAAGAGAGAAGAAGATATTCTCTATTTTAATTCTGTAGTATTTGTATGTACAGGCCTGCTATGTATATGAAAGAGCTGAAAGAAGTTAACACCATGGACCACAACATGTTTTCTCCCTTGACACGTTATCTTCCATACCCTTTACAGCCTTTGCAGAAGTGGTTTTAACCAAAGCTTCCTCAGTGCCTCCCCTGCCGCTGCTCCAATGTACCCGCTCCTGCTCAGTGCCCCCCAAAACTCAGGGAATGAATGAGGTGGTTGCAGGGAGCACGAGGGGA